TCTAAAAACCATTATTATCTTTGATATTGACGAATGTTGTGAAATTCAGTTCTTTTTTTTTCTCTCAACTTCGTTCTTTTTAATATCCTGTGATTTCCTTCTCTTCAGAGTTTGAATTATGTGATATACAAATGAGATAGCAATTAAAATAGGTCCACTCAGCGGGATGATTTGAGATTTCGAAAACTTGCATCACACCGTATCTGGTTTGCTCCACCATACTATTATCAGAAAAACCGTTTCCTTTTGTAAGCAAACGAATTAGTTTTAGTTATGAAAGCCGTAGTAAATGATCATCCTGAAAGTATTGATCATGATAAGCTGTATTGTCAAGTTTATGATTTAGGAAAAAAGTTAAGGATGTCAAAAACCTTTTTCTTTCTAGTAGTGAATCATCTCTTATCAGTAATGCAGCATGACATTTATCAGTGATGTGTTACTGGCAAATATTTGGCAATTATCTCCGATGTAACGACAATTTGAATCATAATCACTTTAAATGGAATGTTTATCAAATACACAACCATATTTCGAAATTTGACATCACTGTCAAATGTAATAAACAATTTCTCTTGCACTTAAATTTGAACATTCAAAATATTTTCACGGAAAAAAGACAGATAATTTAAGCGTTTAAAATAGCAAAAACTGTTTGTTGTATTTAATATTGGGAAATCGGGAATGTTTCTTCTTCAGTTCAAACTTCGTTTCAATATGTTTTGCCTTATCGATGTTTCTTTTTGAAATGATTACCAATATGTGAATTAGTTGATTCAAAATATTTCATAAAAAACAAAAGAAGCTATTCCTCGAAACAAATGCTTAAAATAGGTCAGTAAACTTTAAACTTTTAATAACCATAAAATTTGTATTCAGGAGACGAAAATAAAAAAATTGTGCAATATTTACCATTGTTTGCTTATTGCGGTATTGTTTACAAATGGTTATATTGCAATACATTCATGCTTGTACATACAATGATATAAACATAATTACGCATATACAAGTATCTGCAAACATATGCATGCGCACGTAAAAATTATGTACGTACGCTAATACATTTATAGTTCTGTTCTTTTTTTGCAATTTTTTCTGATAAAAACCATGTAGAAAATTATGCATGTTCCAATCCTTGTTGACATTAACAAGCGAAACAGTGACAAATATCGGATTCATTTTTCGTGCACAATGTTATCTTTTAACGTCAAAAAGCCGTTTCACTTTAACTGTAGTATATATCTTATGTTAATATGGATTTTTTTTTTAGATGAGTGGTAGTAGTGCAACAGTTGTAACGCAACGTCTAGCTCCGAAACGTCAAACGTTGGATGAAGCGTATGCACCGCCGGCGAATTTTCTGGAAATTGAAGTGATCAATCCAATAACTCATGGTGTTGGGAAGACACGTTATACTGATTATGAGATTCGATTGAGGGTAACGTATTATGGTTTTTATCAAAAAGATATGTCGAGATAAATTTTAATAAAGCAAATAAGAGTTTGGGATTTTTTCGAAATTTGTTTTAATTTTTCGAAGTTTCATTATGAAATCATTCAGTTAGCTTACATCGGATTAGGCTTCGTGTATGATATAAAGCTTTCACGGACTTCGATAGTACTATCATTTACTATAAATATGAAAAACTTTTCATAGTTTTTATGATCTACACTATATCACATTGAAATGTGCTTCAATATTTCCATAGATTTTTTGGTTTGGTTTGATTATAATGATTGCGAGATTAAAAAACTACGTTGCTCTAGTAAACATATGCTAGTAAACTACAAATAGTTCAAAATTGATAAATTGCAATGTGTAGACAAAGTTGTTTAGAACTGTAGCTATAGTTTAACTATGGTCAATTGCTTAATTATGACTAATTTCTTGATTGTGCATGTTGATACTTTTATGAGAAAATTTAAAGCTACTTTATTAGTTCTTTTCACCTTGTTTCATGTTAACTGGATTATGCTGAATTGCAGACAAATTTGCCGATATTTAAGTATAAAGAATCAAGTGTTCGTCGTCGTTATTCCGATTTTGAATGGCTTAGAGGTGAATTAGAACGTGATAGCAAGGTATATATTACTTTTAATGTTTTATTTGAAGAAAGTGTATTCAACAAATATTGTTCTTTCGAAACAGTAACATTACTGTTTCTCATAAAACATTTGAATTAATGAAATAAATATTCGCAAAACAGTTCTCCATCACGACTGGCAACAATTACAGCACAGCGAAGGGACGAGATGGGATTGGTATCTTAAGAGTTCAGTTGGGTAGTAAACATCTACCTATGTGTTCTATCAGTATAAACTGGACGGTCTGATTCAGCGCATTATTTGATCTTTGAATGGATAGATGGAATCAGCGTAGTGATCTAACTGTAAAGCATCATTTTCAAAACACTTGTCCATGATTATGTCATATATTTTCATTGCTGCAGATTGTTGTGCCAACTTTGCCTGGTAAGGCACTCAAGCGGCAATTACCATTCCGTTCCGACGATGGGATATTTGAGGACTCATTTATCGAGGAAAGGAGAAAAGGCTTGGAACTGTTCATCAACAAGTAGGTTCTTGTTAAGACTTTTTTCCCTCACTATTCAACTTCATGATTATGATTTCCCAGCTCTCAAATATTTATACAACTCGTGTCACTGTGTCGTTTTTAAGAAAATTAAAGAAAGGAAGCTTTTCACACAAATTCTCTTTTTTTTGTTCAAGATGCAAATTTCGAATGCTGTCTTATACTGCTATGTTAAATTGGATGAATGACTTCTGCGCTTTTATCGGTAGGACTTTCTAATGCCTTGAGCTTTACTTTTACCGTTATTGCATATTAATTGTAGGTAATTCTTTCTAAATCGAACACAAGAACAATTGTTTTGCAGAGTTGCTGGACACCCACTTGCACAAAACGAACGATGCTTACACATCTTTCTACAGGATCCAATAATTGACAAGCATTATGTTCCAGGCAAAATCCGTCTCACATAAATGTTTGCACTAATTTATCATCGTATTCATCGCTGTGCAACATAGAACCAGTTGTGTTCTCTTTTTTATCCGAACGATATTTTAGGCTTCATTGAAGCAATTATCATTTTGTGCAAGTTAATCTCTTTGTTGAGAAATGTTTATGGTTTGTTACTTAATCTTCATTATTATAAGTAATGTGTTACATTTTATCTTCATTTCGTTTTATGAAAAATCAGTTGTGTAATAGATTAGTTATATTTGTCATCAATTTGGTTTATTTTGTCATGATGAGAGCGAAGGTATTTACACATTACTGTGCTAGTTTGTTGCTGGCAAAATGTGACTGTTAAGTATGCATAATTCGTATCAATGGGTAGAAACATAGAAAATTTCCCACTACGTGATAATTTATTAAACGGTCAGCATAACCTTTTGTGAAATATCGTTGACTGACGAACTGACTGTTGTGGATTCCATTTACTTTTATTTTTGGTTACTTTGATAAGTGCCTCTTTCACTGTTATTGTAGAAAAAATTTATTTAAATGTTGTTATAACAAAACAAAGCTAAGTGTACCGTTTTAACTGTAAACCATTCCTCAGTAAATAGATTTATCGACACCGTGGACAACTGAAGTAACTTTTATAGCGAAGGTATTTACAAAACAGTATATGTATACTGTTTTCTGTACTTCTACCTGTTCATACATATATTTATAGAATCTTTGTATTTCATATCTTCCTTTTCTTATTTGGTTAACTTCGTGTTTTATCATATCTCTAAGAACAGTTCTTCGATGTTTTGTACAGAAATAAGCAAAATAGTTTCTTGCTTATATATATATATATATATATATATATATATATATATATATATATATATATATATATATATATATATATATA